CCCCCCCTTTTGGTTTCATAACATGTAGGCAATACATCAATCTACCCTGTACTTTGTTTAGATCCTTTATTCTTTCCCTGCTAAGCTAAATTTGTTAAAATTTCCAATGTTTTATAATTTATTTATCTATTTATTTTTGCGAGCGCTAAAGAACCAATTCCATTTTATTGTATTTAGTTTAACTTTTCCCTGACTTTATAAGTTGATTTATCAAACCTACTTCTTTTATCCTTGGTTTCTTTGTACTTTTCACTTCCACCAGTGGCTTCGGATCTTGTCTTATTGAAAGTTTTTGGTTCAGTTAGGAGCAGCTGCTGTCAATCTGACTGTGACAGAGAAGCCTGCAGATGTGTACTCTGGAATAGCTGCTAGGTATGCCACAAAAACTTGGAGATAAAATTTTTCATGCAAAGAGCATACGATTTCATTTCTCATAGTTGCATTGAAAATTTCAGTAGGGATGCAAATAATTTTGATTCTCGTTGGACCCTTAATATAATAAGGGAGGGCTCAGTTTCATTAGTAAAATTTAATCTCTTTCCGACCCAATACTTGATAAATTATTTTACTTTTTAAAGGATGTTGATTTATTCTCATTGTTCTTGGCTGTCTTCCTATGAATTACTTATCCTTAAATCTTCCCTTGTTGCCGAGGAAATAGATACTTGTGAAGAATTGTTTTGAGTGAGGTAGAGAATGACTTTTCGTTGTCTCACATGGTGAGTTTGCGAGATTAGGTATCTGAGTTATCTGCGTTGGAGGATTTACAAAGTGAAAGTTATAAGAATCCCTGTCCATTGAGGAGATGGCTTTGAAATTTTGGGTAATTTGGGCTCGAGTAACTTCAGATTATGTCATAGTTTTGAGGCATCAATTCAATATTGCTAGTAATTTATGATGATATTAACTTGTCGAGGCTGTAGCTGACGCCAATGGACTTCCATGTTTGCATCATTTGCTTTTATAGTAATACCTTACATCATGAATATCCTATTTTCAGTCTCTAATTGTAATAGTTCAAGCCCACCGCTAGCAGATATTGTCCTTTTGGGCTTTTCCTTCTAAGCTTCTCCTCAAAGTTTTAAAACGCGTCCACTAAGAAAGGTTTCAACACCCTTATAAGAAATGCTTTGTTCCTCTCTCCAACCCATGTGGGATCTCGCAATCCATCCTCTTGGGGGCCAACATCCTCGCTGGCACACCTCCCATTGTTTGGCTCTAATACCATTTATAACAACCCAAGTCCACCGCTAGTAGATATTGTTCTCTTTGGGCTTTCCTTTCCAGGTTTTCCCTTCCAGGCTTTCCCTCAAGGTTTTAAAATGCGTCCGCTAGGGAGAGGTTTCCACACTCTTATGAGGAATGCCTCGTTTCCCTCTCCAACCAACGTGAGATCTCACTCTAATCTCCAATATTGGGAATCAGCTTAAAATATAATTCTGAGAGGATAGATGGATTTGCATGTCCTATTGGTGTCCATGTTTTCTTGAACTTGTTCCTCATTGCCAGCCCGTCAATATTTAATTGATGACATATTTGGATTTTTTTCCCATCTTTTTTTTTTTAATTATTATTTTAAAAAGCCAAGGAAACATAGGAATTTAATTGATGAATGAAATGTACAAAAGGGGAGAACAAGTTATTACCACCATTGGTGGATTACAAAAAGATTTCCACAGTTATTTGGTGAAAACTCTTGAACATGGAATCGCCGATCCTTTTATATAAGGCCATTCTGTGTTCTTAGAGGGTTTCTTACTTTGCCTCAAGGGAGCTTTACCAATCCTTTTTTCCATTTTCTACTACAAGATCCTTATATGCTTTTACCTGATGTTACCAGTCTTCACAGAGATGCTGTATAAAGTTTGATGTCCTTTTATTCCCCTTACTAGTGGATCAAGGAAGGGATTTAACTAATAACACCATAGATTTTTTTGGGGAAGTCTTCACCACAGAAGTTATATATATAATAAATATATTTATTGTTGCAGGGTTCTAGAAATCGTGCGAAAAGATGCACAAAGAGATCCAGAAACTTTTCCAGATGCATTGCGTGCAAAAACATTAATAGATCAGGTTTTCTACCTACTTGGGAACTCTGAACTTCAATCATGGGAAAATATAAGTTTCTGATGCAATCACCATAACTTGATTGCTTTCTGATCCTTATTGCTAAAACTCTTAAAGGTGGACAGAAAATTGGTGAAGCAAACAGTGATGACATCGGTTTATGGCGTCACCTATATTGGCGCTCGTGATCAGATCAAAAGGAGGCTGAAGGAGCGTGCTGCCATATCTGATGATACAGAGCTTTTTGGCTGTGCTTGCTATGCTGCCAAGGTAGGGGGTCCTTCTATCTTCATTTTGGGAGCTTCTATGAATTAAATGCTTGAATGATTTAAATAGTTCAGTAACATTATGTGTGTGAGCAGACCACGCTAACAGCACTAGGGGAAATGTTCGAAGCAGCCCGTGGGATCATGAGTTGGCTTGGAGACTGTGCAAAAGTTAGTCCTCTTCTCAGCTTTTTTTTCATTCAAGGGGTAAAAAAAACGCTGTCAGCTCCCCCTTAGCTATGTATTGGAAATAACATGAAGTTTGTATTCAAATAGATTATTGCCTCTGAAAATCAACCTGTGCGATGGACTACACCCCTTGGACTACCTGTTGTGCAACCATATCGCAAGTTGGGAAGGCATCTTGTGAGTGTTGAAGATTTTACATAATCAGTAAAAGTGACCAATTCTCTTATGGTAGTATAGAAGAGACATTTTACGCATTAATTAAGCTATCATTGGTTTCAGGTCAAAACTTCTCTCCAAGTTTTGACACTACAACAAGAAACAGACAAGGTAACATCATTGTTTTACTTGGAATTTCTCATTATTATCAATGGAAGTTTATTGAGGGATTTTCTTTGGACGTTGCAGGTCTTAGTAAAGAGGCAGCGGACAGCTTTCCCACCAAATTTTGTGCACTCCCTTGATGGTTCTCATATGATGATGACTGCAGTTGCTTGCAAAAAGGCAGGTTTGAATTTTGCAGGTTTGTCCTCCGGATTCTTTTCTCTGTTCTAGTCGTTTTCACACTCTACTGGTGCGAACTGCTATATCCTCATGTTTCTATCAGGGGTTCATGATTCGTACTGGACACACGCTTGCGACGTGGATGAAATGAACAGAATACTTAGAGAGAAGTTCGTCGAACTTTACGAGACTCCAATACTCGAAAATGTACGGCTGTCCTACCTCCTTGTGATGTGTTATACTTGTTGACGTTATTATTCATCTGACTAATCGTTTTCTTATAGTTATTGGAGGGCTTTCAGCAATCTTTTCCTGTGTTGGACTTTCCTCCTCTACCCGAACGGGGAGAATTAGATCTAAAGGAAGTTCTGGAGTCGCCTTACTTCTTTAACTAAGTTAATTCGGGTGCATTTCCCTTCGTTTTCTGCTCTCTAAATGTGTTCGGCTGGGCATTGCCTGCACAAGTACTCCTACTGTTAGTATCAAGAGTAATGGAGGATGATGCTGAGAGTCCCTGGTGCAGACTGACCACTGTGTTGTATATAAACATTAGGTTGTCATCTCTTAGAAGGCGCTGCTCCGGTCGAGTTCAAACGAGTTCTCAACTCCAATATGCAGAAGAAAATGGTCAGACAAACAAGACTCTTTGGACACAGCAAAGCAATAGTTATCATGTACTTGACCAGGTCTGCTAAAACTTCCCATCTGCTTCTGTTCATCGAAGACGGTTGAAGTTGTCGAATGGACCATATTTTCCAGAAAGGAAAGCCTGATACGAATTGAGATTGCCACAGTAACAAAGGATTGCTTGTATATGTCCCCCTTACTCTAATATTCAGATGAAGTGTGGAAGTGATGAAAAGGATCAACATTGCCATCTTCTTAACCCATCACAAGTTCTGCAGCTATAATTCTTATAAACTGTTGCAGTCTGCTGCTTCATGTATATGTAAATGTTTGTGCATGTGCTATGCATAATGGACTAGCATTCTGCCCTCTGAATCTGCTGATTATCTTGTCGGAAGTCCGAGTTCTATATTAACTAGAAAATGACGTTATACATCAATTTGATATGATACGATAGAGGGGTACTAGTGCCAGTGTTACCTAAGAATAAAGTTCATTCACTAATGATAGTTTATTATAAGCTCTAGTTTCCAAGGATGAGTTGAAAAACATCATTGAAATCTATGTAATTGGAAAACAAGGCTTCCAATCAAACCACATTATAGTTTCTGAGAACTTGAAATATTGTTGTTTTGTTCGCCGATCGTCTCAGTTTACAGCTGCTCGAGAATGATTTAGCGAAAAAACTTCACATGAAGATGTGAAAAAATGGTTCTTCTTTTTTTACTGTTCAATCTAATCTGTCTCATTCATCTTTCGGATCGGCTTTAGTATCCAAGTCGATGGAGAAACACGAGAAATGATGCTTCAGAACTTGCAAGAGAATCTTGCTGCTAAATGCTTAATGTTAGCTTCTCGTTTCAAAGAAAAACTAGACAGTGACATCATACCTCGTTGAGGAAAACTAGAAATATATAGCTCAAAGTCATTATTGTGGTTAATCAAAGTCATTGTTGTGGTTAATTGAATTAGTCGACTTATATTTCATTAAGAACCTGTTGCTTAGCAAAGATAAAAATATCATTCAATTGATATCTCTAAAACATTGATTTAAATTATTTTTATCAATTTTCACTCTAGAAGTAGTAGTTGCTGTGATACTCGATTGGACTTACGATCACATAGAGGTATATATATATATATATATTATTCTTATTAACTAAGACATGAGAAATTAAATTGTTACTAGAAAAATGAATTTTAGGAAATTTTGAGGAAGAGAGTCATAAGATTAATAAATATATAAATGGGTTTATATTATTATAATATTTACAGTTATATATTTTTGTGTAATGGGTTTTGAAGTAGCGGTTGTTGAATCGGAAAAACCCGAACGTGATCCGCGACTTTTGTTGTCTGTATGAACAAAAATATTTTCTTTCCTCCTTTTTTTTTATTTTTTTAGAAACAAGAAATAGCCTTAATCCACCCTGTTATTCCACCTTTCTTGATTCTGGTAGGCGTCAATTTCAATTCCCAATCGAAATGAATTTCTGCGGAAAATGAAGCAATTTCGTCTCGAATTCTTGCACAGTTTCCGCCAGATCCTGTATACTCTCCATAACAAAGCTCCATTGATTCTTCTTCAACCAGCTCCTTCCTCCTACCATAGTCAATCTCTCTCTCTCTCTCTCTCTTCGTTTTCATGTGAATTGCCTGGTTTCTAGGGATTTCTACTCCGATCTTTCTGCTTTAGCTGGTTTACTTCTGGGGTTCTGCCTATGGTAACCGAGCGTGCTCAAGCAGCGATCTCCTTCGTGTCAGTTGTCAAGAGGGGTTTTTGCCTACAAGCTTGAGCTGTTGGAGGAAGATCAGACTCTGCGAGTCACTGCGATTGGAGATTCATCGGAGCTTCACTAAAGGGGGTTGTGAAGTTAATGCTAGCTAAGTGATTATGGTGAGCATGGTCAAAGACGGGAAAGCAGGAAGTGCTGCTAAGCTAATAGTTGATGCTTTGCTTCAGCGGTTCCTCCCCCTCGCGCGGCGTCGAATCGAAACCGCACAAGCTCAGGTTCAGTTTTGCTTTTGTTTTCTCTTCCCCCTCCCTATTGTTTCCTCTCTAGAAAATGTCATGTGCAGCTTTGCTAGTCCCCCACCCCAAAAAAGAAGAAGAAAGAGTTACAATAGTCGCTTTGTTGGAAATTTGAAGACTAGAGGATGTGTGCTTATTTTTTTCCACAAGTCTTGACTTTGATTAGTATTACAATTTGAGGCTTTTTTGATATTGGGTGCAATTATAACATCATCCTTGATGGATCAAGATTGTATACTCCGTGTATTTTCTGGTACTTCGATAGGTTCGTTTCTGTTTTTCTGGGTACCAGTAGTCCAGTACTTAAGGATTTCTTGTGTTTGCTCGACCTGGTGAGCAAATTTTATCGTTGTCCTATGCACTCTGATGGCTGCAAATCGCGAAATCCAATTTTCACGTCCATTTATGTTGTCTAGTACGATTTTGTAAACTATCCTCCACGCTGTTTACTTGACTGTCTCCAACTTGCAGGATGGACAATATCTTCGACCATCGGACCCTGCCTACGAGCAAGTGCTGGATTCCTTGGCTATGGTTGCGAGACACACGCCTGTGCCTCTTTTAGAGGCTCTTCTTCGATGGAGAGAAAGGTGCCTCAGCTTTCCTATTCTCCTTTATTTGAACTTGTTCCCACAAGGACAACTTTCTGTGTGCGCCTTCTTTGTTTGTGGTAGTTCACAGGGTTTATTCCAAACACTGACTTGCTTTTTCACTGTCGATTGGAGATAGCTTGGGAGAGAATCTTTATCTTTTATTATTTATTGTATAATATTTTGTTAGTTTCCATTCACTTGACAAACTTCTTATTTTAGACATTTTTTAAAATCCAATACAGGTATCTTGACGTAATTGTGCTGCATGGACGTGTGTGTTGATTATTTTTTATTTGTTAAGATTGGAAATAAAGCCTTATTACTTTATAGAAAGTACAGTATTACCGAAGAATTTAACTAAAATAAGAGGATAAACATCCTCTATGTCAAGTCAACTGGGATTCCAAATAAGTTTCTAACAGCGGTATAGTTAAATAAATTTGCAATGTGATTATTTAAAAGAGTTCATTGGCAAAGATGTTGGTAAGCAGCGTGTAGAAGAGCAAAACTGTATTTTGGCCGGTGTTTTGTAGTGATTACTGTGATACTGTGTGGGCTCAAGAGTTTACAGCAAGGAGAAATTTATTTTAAGGATTGAGTGCGAAAAGAGGCTTTGGAGAAAATAGGAGATGGATGTGGCGATGCATTTCAAGTTTTCTTTTTTTTTTCTTTTTCTTTCTATTGTCGTGTTCATTGGTGATAAGTCACGAGGAAAGATCCTTCATTTGAGAGTTTTAGATAGGGTGCCTCACTCTCTTATACTTTTGTCTCTTTGTGCTTATAGCTTAGTTCCTAAGTAGGTGATGCATCATCAGACTCGCATAACTTTAGAAGGATGAAAGAATGTTGTGGCCCATGGGCCTATTGGCCGCAATCCTTATGTAATGAGGTGGAAGGGCGATTAGGGAAACATATTTGTTGAGGTGGCCATTTTTTGATGCTGTCATCTAGAGTATATTTTAATATACTCTTTCTTTTCCAATGGGGAACCATTTTGTTGTGAAGAAAAACCAAATCCGCATCAAGCTGATCGATTCAAGGTGAAGAGTTAGAGATTGATGGAGCAAACTATGTTGACTGAGAGGGAGGGAACATTTAGTGTTTCTAGATTGAAGCAAGAGAGTATGTGTTTAAGAAGAGTTCATTGAGGTAAAAGTATTATGACGAGGATGCAGAAGTATTAGGCAATTGGAATCTTGACCCTGCAGTGTGTAGCCTATGCCTGAGGAATGAAGAAAGCTCAAATCACCTCTTCCTCCATTGTTCTTACACTGCAAGGGGATGAAGTTTTCTTTGGAAGGAATTTGGCTTATCCAGTTGTCTTCCATCCTCGATTGTGGCGTGAATTCAGGAGGCTATGAATGGGTGGAGTTTAAAAGAATAAACAAAGATCTTAGGTAGATGAGCCTCTAGAATCTTTTTATAGGAAACTTGGAAGGAAAGGCAATTTTTTCGAGAATCTACTTCTTTTAAACTTTTTTTTTTTTGTAACTATGCTCAGCTCACTTCTTCTTTCTGGTGTCTAAGACACAAAAAATTCTTGGAACTATAGCCTAGGTTTTATGCACCAAGATTGGTAGGCTATGCTTCATTATCTTTCGGAAATGGGATGTCTCACCCCCCTGCCGCTAGGCTATTTTTGATCTTAGTAATACATTCCTTCCATTTCCTAATATATATAATGATGAGGGAGTTTAATGGGAGTGTGCATGTTCACATGGAGCTAATGCGTAGAGTTTTTGTTCACAAGCAATTTAAGATTTTTTTCGTGCGCTAAGATACTGCAGTCAAAGAAATCTTCTTATTCCCAAGACAAAAAAGAAAGAAAGAAAGAAAGAAAGAGAAAAAAAAAAAAGGAAGAAAAAACTTTTTTTTTTTTTTTTTTTTTTGATAGTTTGATTACATTTTCTCTTTTTCTCTTATTGCAGCGAATCACCGAAGGGTGCAAATGACGCATCTACTTTCCAAAGAAAGGTTTGAAAGCTATATGATGAATGGATAGTGTATCTAATAGTTCGAGTTATTGTGGTTTGCCATTAATTATTGATGATTCTTGTCAATTGGTATTTTTATCAGCTTATATGGTTCAAAATTTTAATGAATTGATGTCATATTGAGCAAATGGAGCCAAATAATTGTTGTTATCTTCTTTAGTTTCATTAGTTTACAGTTTCTTACACTCTTTCTCAATGGGAATATTTTTTCCCTACGTATTTCCTTGGCTTATTTTCTTGTTACATTTGGATCCTTCACTTCTTTACACGATAAAAAAAAACTCTCTAATTATTATTATTATTTTTTTCTTGGCTTGGGGATGGACCATCTAATCATTCCTTCTCATCTTTTTGTAACCTTTTTTGCACCTTGCCCAGGGATGGGCTTGTAGGGAATTTTTTATTTTCTTTTCTTTTAAAAAAATAATGGAAGAACGTTCTCCTGTTAATTTTTTTCCTCTCTTGTGCATGCTTTTAAATTTAGAGTATATTATTTTTATTGGTAGGTAAAGTTTCCAAAGAGGAATTCCAGGCTGTTTTTTTTTTCTAGATATGGTTGCTTTAAAATCCCTTGTTCAGAGAAGTTTGCTTTATTAACTTGAAGTTATAATGATATTCTTGCTTGGGGCTTAGCTTGCAGTTGAGTGTATATTTTGCTCAGCATGTATTCGCTTTGTGGAGTGCTGCCCTCAGGAAGGGCTTACAGGTTCGCACAGTGTTCTATTGAATTTGTATTTGTTTATTTTTTTTCTACTTTTGTTGCTAATTGGTAGTAGTTTATCATTGTAGAGAAGCTTTGGTCTGGGCTTGAAAACTTCGTTTTTGATTGGCTAATTAATGCTGACAGGTAAGGTTGCTTTGGCATAGTTAATGTACAGTGCAGTTTTCTTTTTTTTGTGGGAATTTAGTAATTACTTGACTGACTTCAAACTTTCCTTTTCCTTATAGTTGTTGGTTTTTTTTTTTTTTTTTTTTTTA